CCAAATAAGTGATACTAAGCCTTCTTAGATTATATTTGTATGGATATATGTTATTAACATAAGTGTTCTAGAAATTGTATGAAACTCCTACAAATCTGAAGTTATCACTAGTAATTCTAGTTATCTTGAAGAGTTGTGTATCACAAAAATAAGCAAATTTCCTAGTCATTTGCATTATAATGAACTCTCATTAGATCTTTAACCATGGCCATTTTTAAGTCTTTTGTCATTTACAGTTCCTGTTTTAGTCTAACGCTTTTGCAAAATTGCTTCATCTTCAAGGAGACTTATGGAAAGAACTCTGAATACAGTTTTTTGGCAACTTTAAACTCGTAACATTGAACTGGGTAAGAATTTGCAGAACTAATGGAAAAACTGGATTAAAGTAGAGCAAGAATTAATTACAAGGGATTGAATGAACTGATGAGGATGATTATAATTTCTATGATATTTTGTTTGAAATATTGCTGGTTCTTTAATCTTTTGTATTACAGATGTAAGGAAAACTTTCTCCCTAAGCTGTCTATGACTTACAGCAATTTAGTAGAATATATCTTGGAGCAAAGATGAAATGTTTTGTCTTTTTCTCTTTGCCTGCTACCTCCAAAATTTGTTAACTAACCCTACAAACTAAAGGTAGGTGATTTAATATAAACTTCAGAGAAATTGTCATAATAGCCTATGTTTAGACAATATTCTTTGTGCTTTTTGCTCTATGGACCACTCAGAAAGTTTACTGGCACACCGATGACATGATCAGAGGCATCAAAACTGAAAGCTAGGAAAACTTGTTAGATCACCACTTACTGACGTAAGTCCATCCAAAGATATTTTGAGCCTGACGTCATGAAATTTTTGACTGGCAGGTCTCAGGATACAAAAACCGGGTTTATAATTTGCTCCAAACATTAACTTTTGTTTTTCTTCTCTTCCAGAGAAATGCCTCTTATTCAATACCTGATTTATTACATATGTGGTATAGGCCTAACTTTGGGATCCCACTGCATCACCTCCCTCCTGCAGTGACATACAACTCTTTAACTGATCTGACCTATTCTCAAGACCGAGACTGGTTGAATGAGACACGGAGCAATCCATCCACTTAGCTTTTGGATTGCGCAACTTCTTATTTTCAAATGTGGGATTGAATGGGGACAACCTCTGCTACTCCAAAATATGCCTGTTTGGCATATTGATTATTTAAACAAAAAAGCAGACAGGAAAAGCTCTAAAAATTGAGAAGAAGTTACCCTTTTGTAAGAGAGATTTCCACATATAAGAGAAATCTCCATTTGTAAGGGTGTCTTCCTTGCTGTGTTGGCAAGAAGAGATTGCTCTATATCTATAGAAAGGTTTTTCAGAGGAGAGGGCAGCAACTTAAATTTGCAAAACACCCTTACCTTCGTTTATTGTGTTTTCCTGGTAACCTCCCATAACTGAAACCTCACCCCCAGCTTCTTTTGTCTTTAGCTGAACATGGTGTTTAAGGTGATGATTTTGGCCATTTCAGCGACTTACTCAGTCTTCCTGGGCCACTTTCATGTAAATAGTGAGTATGCATGTTATTAAACTTTTCCTTGTTTTTTTCCTGTTAATCTGCTTTATATCAATTTAATTATCAGACTGGCCAAAGCGTCTAAAAGGGAAGAAGGGAAAACTTTTTTCCACCCCCATAAAGGGCTTTAAAAACATAGAAAGTTGGTGGAAGCAGAATGAAGATAAACATTTTTGTATGTGCTTCAAGTTATTGAGGCTGTTAATGTTTTTCAGCCTGCAAAATAATTGTTATTTATATAACGGTATGACTGAAAATTAGGAAAATACATTGGGTAAATGTTTAAGGGAGATTTTAGAAAAAAAAATATTTTAGAAAGGTTTATTTTGAGAGATTTCCATTAGAAATGATCTTAATAAAAACAAGTTTTTATTTATTAAGGGGAGAGAGTATCAGTTACATATAGCAGCGTGGTTCAATGCAATGAGCACAAGCTTTAGAATCAGGGAGCTTTAGGGTGTGATGATAAGTAAGCTTGATGCTAGGCCTCATTTTCCTCATCTGTAAAACAGACTTTACATGCCTACATAAAATGGGGTTGTAATGAGGATTAAACTAATAATTGATATATGCAAATATCTCGGCACATAGTCAGCATATGGTGATTATTAGTGAAACTGCAAATACCCCATAATGGTGAATAAATGATGCATTTTGAATTTCTCTTATGAATGATTAGGCAAAATTATTCTATAGGGTGCTATAGAAGACCCTAGACAGGAATCTCACCACAGCCTCTGCCTTGTCTAGTTTTGAGCTATGGATTGCAAGACCCCCAGATCAGCAGAGAATCAATGATAAACTCTGAAAAGTTCACTGGTTATGGTAACTTGAATTGGATCTTGATTCTTCTGGAAGATGGTGGTACATCAAGTTAAGGAAAGGAAGGAATTAATGTAATATTTGTCAGATACAGTTCCTTATTTTTTTATTTTTTAATTTTAAATTATTCCCTATGCTGTGTTATCATCCCAGTGACTAATTTAATTCATCAGTATATTTGTGCCTCTTTATTCCCTTCATCTATGAAACCTACTTCCCACTCCCTTCCCTATGGCACCCTCCAGGCTATATTGTAAAATAGATATTTCAACAAAAGCCCTGTAAATCAATATGATGGAAAACTATAAATACCCAAATTCATTTTTCACTTGGCATAATAAGTTCACACATTACTTATATTTTATGATCTCTCCAATATTCAGCTATTCTGAATCTATAAAAATGGCAGGTGCCCATGGTTCAGCATAATCATGACTAAAGCAAAGGGAATTGGTTCACTGCCTTGTTCTACTTACAGAAATAAGATGAGAAATAGAATGATGCACAGACTGGTTAAGAATAGAAATGCATAATCATTACCAAATTAAGTGTTTCATGTGGTTGGTCTTTAAAATGTTATAAACTGTAATGGAATTACTGTATTGAGAGCAGTTAATTTGTTGCACTTCAAATCTATTATAACCAAATACTACCCCTATCATTTGTAATGAACACTAAAAACTACGGAAGAGCACTGGTGATGACTCCTAGTGCCATCAAGATAAACCACCTAGAACAAATTTAAAGTGCCCCATATCAGTATAAGTCATATCAGCTCAGAAGCTGAAGAGTCATTTTTGATCCTGACATTTAAGTATTTTCCCAGTGTTCCACAGTTTTAAAGGAGAAGGCAAGAGTTTGATGTACTTTGTCTAGGTGTTCAAGCCTGTAAACCATAAAGGTAGGAATAGGGTGCATGTTCTCATGTCTAGGACTCAATTGTTTGACTAGGAGTTGTGATCCCTGAACCAGAGCCAAAAAAATATTTGGGGGAGTGAAATGGCACAAGGACTCAGGGTCAAAAAGAGAGGGAGGGCTGAGAAATGTGGAGAACTTGAAAGCAAATGCCTCTTAAAGGAGCTAGCTACCACTTAGCACCCTTAATTGTTGTCCTATGGGAATGTGGTTCCAGTAAAGCTATGATCTTCAAACAAACACAGATGTGTGGAATTTAACATGAAAGAATCACTATTTAAAGGTTTATAACTAATTCAAATTTTAAGTCCTGTGAGTCAGATAATAAACATCTGTGGACTGTCAGGAAGCAACCTCTGGATTAGATTCTAACATCCTCAGTAGATCTATAAATACTATTAAACATGAAGGATGTTGACATGCTGTTCTTCATCAATATTTACGACCATCAGAGGAAATGATTTAAAAAAGAAACTAGTTTCATTAATCAATAGATAGTAGGTGTCTACCAGGTTGCCACAACATATTCATTACTAACAAGATTTAAAAAGATAGATGTATTCACTGCCTTTCTCTGGCTTATAAAATGTTAGTTGAGGAAAAAAGGATTTCCTGATAGGGTTGTAAATTATTGGGAGTAGAATAATGAGGAAGGATCAGAGTTGTATATAAGGGAATATTCTATAAAAATTGAAGGTGGAATAAGCCTTTTCCATTTCCATGCAGCATCACATACTGTTTATTATACAAAAATGGGGGAGGAGTATGGAATATTTTATTTGCTTTACATCTCTGCTGATCCTGGAACCCATCATGCTTTTTTAAAAAAAATGTTCTTTTTGCCCATTTTTGCATTGTATTTAATTTAAGTGAAAAAGCAGCTTTAGGCATTTTCATTATTTAAATTCCAGTCTTCATATTCTCCTTTGGAAATAGAAGGTGGCAGGTAAGTAAAAAGATGAATAAGTTACATGCTAAAATTCAGAGGCCCAGCTATCAAGAATGAATTACATCAGGTGTACTGTCTTCATTTGTATCTTTTACAAGTTGTCCTTTGCCAGTTTAGAGTGAGATGTTAATTTTATATTTGGCTTGTATTCTTACCTTCATTCTTTAGGAAAATTTAACATAAATGAATTTAAAGATTAAGCTTACCGATAAAAATATACTTACTTTTCTCTTTCAGCTTGATGGATGCACAATGTGGAAAATAACAGTTTTTCTTATCAACTTTAATCTTATATGGACCATGAAACCAAATCCTCAAATAAAGGCAAACACAAAAGTATCCATACCTTACAGAAAACATAATTTGCTTCTATTCCCTAATGCCTGACTTTCAAGATATTAGATGAGTTCATATTATTTAATTTAATGTTATCTAACCTTCTTAGGAATTGACCTCAGTGAGTACAATGTTCCCATAGATTCAATCACAATGAATTACACAAACACATGCATTATACAAGCTTTTTTTCATTTTGAAGAGTGATATAAAAATCAGAGTGCATAGAATATTAAGTCCAGAGAAGAAGGAGGTATTATTTGCAAACACTTGACTGCATTCTATGTATTAAGCCCAATACAAGACATGTACTCTTCAAGGATATTAATGTGTCAGTGAAACCTTACTGGGGAAATAAAATGATTTTCAAACAAGCTCTCTTTGCAAGTTCCATCTTTAAGCCAATTCTTGCCGATACTATACCTTCCGGAGGGGTTTGAGCTTGGTCTCCATTACGAAGTCATACTTGCAGAGCTCGCAACAGCGGGTGTCTGAGCTCTTGATCCACTGGTGGAGGCAGGACTGGTGGACAAAGCGCAGAGTGCCCGTGCAGCGGCAGGGGGTGATGAGGGGGCTCTCTTCATCCCCTTCGCAGTGACAGATCCTGGGGAGGACACACAGCCAGGATGAGATCTCGCAGAGGACATTTCTCACTGGGGATTTCCTCCCTTGCCCATATGGGCTGTGTTAGAAACTGCAACCCAAGATTTAGAACCCATGGACATTTCACTCCAACTTCATGCTAGAAATGAATCCAGGACAAATATTAATTTTCTTTCACTTGCATAGTCATTGCTGGACTCTTAAGTCATGTTATAAGGCATCAGACACTGGTACATCAAAAATGCACTATCATTCTTACCCTGACCCAATTTTAACAATAAAATTTTAACAATAAAATTTTAACAGTAAAATTGAGCTATGTCCCCAGCTTAATCTATTTAATAAGTCAGTGTCTATGGGCATAAGCTTGTTTTTATATATAAAAGTTATGATTTATAAGCATTCTAAGGAATGATGTCATTTGATAATTCATTTTTTTATTTTGATAATTTTATGAGGGTATGGTGTATAATTTAGTACATATGGCATTCTACTAATAGGGAAGAATCCTGCACATTTGGACATGTTAACAAGGAATAAAATGAACATAGAAAGTCTCAGCTTGGAAATAGTACAAAGATTTTTCTAGGAAGATTCATACATATTTGGTTACAATGAATGACCTAATCAGTCAATAATTACCATTGTTAAAACCACAAAAATTGCTGGTTACATAAAGTTAAAGTGCAACAAATCCTATTGCTTTAGAATGCTAACTACTAAATCTCCCAAAGAATTCAGAGTTCAACTAGTTTTCTGAATTATTATAAATTCTAGTGTCATAGATTAGTGGTCTATGAAATCTGCACTATCTCGTCTTCAAATTTGTAAAAATAAATTACAATGAGATAAGCTTTTTATATTTCAAGGTGAATTCAAATTTTAGCACTTCAAAAATTTTTATGCTTTAACCAGTTGTTAGAAGTTGTTAACAAACTTGGTGAGAAATATTCTTGAAATTTGTTAGAAATACAAATGGAACATTTCAAAAATACCTGTATAGTAGCTTTTTTGTGCTGAGTCACAGTGGCAGTCCGGAAGAATGTTTGAATCGCTGCTACTTGCTCTTTCTGTTTAGGTCTCTAGGCACTATTTGCCAGATGCATGAATTTTAAAGACTGGATTTTTAAAATATATTTATCTATCTCATCTCTCTCCCAGGGGAAATGAAATGGTGGCTCAGGCTGTTACTACAGTAAGATACAGGAATTGAAACCCAACCCTCCCCTAACCTCAAACTAAAGAAGCATGACACTGTACACTAATATTTTGAATCTCTTTTTCTTAAGTAAGAATAAAGTCAGCAAAGGCAACACTGATTCCTGAAGCCCCTGGAGTGGGAGCAATGGGATGAAAGCCCGAGGAGGTCCAAACGCGGTACCTCCTCGCTGGGGCTGAGTCAGGAAGAATCAGTGTTGGATGCAGAATCACACACGAAAGGTTGAAATATTGGGAAAAAACTAAAAATGATCTGAGAGCCTGTTTTTAATAGAAAAGTCCACAATATCTCCTCTCAGCAAAGGTATAGGTCCTATGGATCAGGGCTTTTTACACTTTGTACCACACCTGCTGCTAATTGAGGGGTGCTTGCATCATAGGGGCTCAGTAGATGTTTGCCAAATAAAGGAATTTATTCAGTCAACAAACTATGACTTATTATAAAAGCAACTTGTGAAAGCACTTCGTTTTGCTGTAATGTGATTTTTGGAGCCATTGAAAATTAATGAATATACCGCAGGAGAAGTCAGTATTTCTTAAGTCCTTGAACCTCATATTTCCCTCCCTCCACACCAAGATACTCCTTTAGATCAGGGGCCAGCGAACTACGCCCAATTCTTCCTGCTGCATAGTTTTTGTAAATGAAGTTTTATTGGAACACATTCACTCGTATTTGTTTATGTCTTCTTTAGAGCTGTATTAGCACCATAACTGCAGAATTGAAAACTGCTGTAAAGACCACATGGCTACACAGACTAACATATTTATTTTCTGGCTCTTTACGGAAAACATTTGCCTACTCCTGCCTTAATGTGATTTTGAGTTAAAGACAATGTATGAATATTACCAACAATAATGAAATAAAGTTTACATAATAAATCACCTCAACCTCTAAATAACAGCAGTCGAAGTAAAGGTTACATAGAGAAGCACACAATAAAAATGAAAGTCCCTCCTGCCTGGCATTGAAGGCTCCTGATCCATGAATGGTCTGCAGGGACAGGGTGCAACATTTCTCATTTGAAAAATAAATATTTGTAGTTAATGCCATCTGATAATTCATCACTAAAAAAAAATTGTGTCAAATGCTGCACAGCTGCCAAGATGAGACTCTGATTTTTTACTGACATGAAAAGGTAATTTATTCGTAAGCAGACTCAAACAAAGACCTTGCTGATTACTGAGTTCAGTAACCTGAGCACTTCACTGATTGTGGCCCAGATTCTTATATCTTATAAATTCCTTCAAAAATATTTCTGCTGAAACTGTTACCTGAAACACCACCAGCTATATCATTATTTTCATAAAATTAAGATTATTTCCTATAGGGAAAATCAAAAGTTTGGTTCATTTCCATCCCCATTTTACAAGATTTACTTTTTGCATCATTTTAGAATTTTGAACTTTTTCTAAATTATCCAACTCAAGTTGGACCCCAAGAGATTTTTTAAAAAACAACTGAGATTGTTCTAAATCAATTTAAGAGCTAAATATCCACTTCGTGTCTCCTAATAGCAAAATGTGAGTGCTATTACAGAAAGAATTAAACAATTCTTAAATTGATATACTCACACAAACCACAATGATAAGTGAAAACATAGTAATGAAACATAAATATGTTTTTTTTCAGCAGAATAATTGTGCAGAGAAAATGATTTTAATAATAAATAAAATTACATTGTAAAATACATCTTTTTTATTCATTTTTATATTAGGGAAAATAGAGGCTTGAGAATTGAATGATTCTGTAAAATTATCTATATTGGTGTCTGTCACTAGTGACAGGAACAAGCTAAATTAATAGATTTTATTGTCATTTCAGTATTTTAACCAGCTGCTTACAATCTAAACAGCATATGTTGAGATGTTTACCATTTATGACTTGAATAAACTTTTACTTCCACATAACTTTTAGCTTTCTGTGAAGAACAGACCACAAAATGCTTTGTGGCAAATTAAATTTTAGAAAGTGTGTGTGTGCGCGCATATGTGTGAGGGGTTAAAATCCCTTCTTTATTGTTTAAGTTTAAAGAAAAGTAAGCTTTTTGTCTGTTTATGTACTTTAAAGTGGCGCCCCTGCCTCCTTTCCTCTCCCTTGGCAAGGCTTCCTGACTGGTAGAACAAAATATTTTTTGGCGTTTCTTTTTTAAAATATATCACTAGTTTAAAAAAAAAATCTATGTGATTGCCATAGTGATTATGTAACTTTGGGATTTTTTTTTCATCCATTCATTATTTCATTCATTCACATTTTCTTAGTTCCTGCTATATGCAAGGAAATCAGGTAACAGCATCAGCCTAGCAAATCTTTCTGAATGATCCCCTCCCTTTCCTATCTACATTTTTCTCCATACCCCTCTTCAGTTAAATAATCTTTAAGCACAGTAATTACAGATACTGTTATGCTTGTAGTGGTTTAATTTGGATGTTAATTTTACTCAATAATCTCATGCTGCTGAGTTTGGCAGTCATCTTATAAAGTTAAAAATGACTAGAATACATGCTAGGCAGAAGCCATATTGAAAGGTACTAAGCAGTGGGTGAGAAATCTGTGCTCAAGTAAATGAGTGAAAATAACCTTTTTTTTTTTGAGAAATACAGCATAGCAGTGAAAAGATAGCAGACTAAAGACAATTTTATTTTTAATTTTCATTTCATTTTATTTTTAACAGGGAAAACCTGAACTTGTTCAGAAGCAGAAGTTAAGGTGCCCCAGAGATGCAGACATTTAAAACAATAGTCAAGATAATGCCCATTGTTAAATGCAAGTTCTTGAGATGTCAAGAAAGTATGGGGAAGAAAGTGCGGCGGAGGAGTATCTTTGGACAAGCGGAAGGACGCACAGAAGAAAACAGACACCTTTTCCTGTGAGCCTGGGATAGAGGAAAATAATAGGTGAAGATGGAAAGGCAGTGGAGGCAGACAGGGGAATAAAGCCCCTGGGCATCGCAGGTCTTTATTATCCTTCATGGTACAGAGAGAACGTGTATTAAACAGAGGGCAGGAAGGCTGAGGTTAAGGTCTTATAGAGGCTGTAAATAATTAGAAAAAACCCCTTTGGGAATGTGATAGAAAATTAACCAAGCGTGAACATTAGAACTGCAGAGCAGCTGTGAGGTCCCCGGTGAGATCAGACAGCAGGAATTCATAGTAGGTGCTGCTAACATTTTTTCTGTGACTCGGCAGTGTTCAGCAGTCAGAGAGCAGGCCTACAGCTGGTAGCGAACCTAACAGTCTTGAAATCACTAGGTCAGAAAGGGGAAGGACAAAGGATTCCGGCACATCAGAGAATATGATGTGAAAACAGCTGACCGTGGGGCCTAGACCTCACTGAGCAGGGAGGTGAGCAGAGCTGTTTAGTGTATTATGAGAAAAGGTTGGGTTTGACAGACTGGAAGTTACAATGATGGTGAAGAACTGATGCTGAAAGTGGAAGGAAATGTAATCAAGATCATCTGTATATAGCATATTCACATCCCTCATGCGTGAATTCATATCTCTTCTGTAGCATTTTTTTTCCCATTGTCCTAGAAAAACTGAAAATATACATATAGTTTGCTGCTTGAGATTTACAAGCAAATCAGATCCTGACTAACATCCTTGCTCTCTGCTCCAGTAATCTGGAGAAATTTTCAGGTTAGTTGTGTGTTAAATGAGGTTAAAAATACCTCTTAGGATGTCATGAGGGTCTATGAGACAAAAGAGTGAAGTACCTGGTGCATGGTGGGCAGTCAAATATTTGTTAATGTTATTATGGCTAATTTGTTAATTTTATCATGGGAA